GTGAATTCAAGCAGGCAGTGGTCACTGTCGCCCAGGGTGTCAAGCGCCCGCAGCTGCCTCACCAGGTAAAAATAGAGATTTATGCCCATGTATTTGAAAGAATACATTTTCCTTAGGCATATGAATCTTTAGCAATGTACATGATGGAATTCATCAATTTTGAGAATACCCAGAGGCTTTCAAATGTATATATATTTTAAAAGAGCTCCAAGCTGTCAAAAATGGTCCTGAAACGCAGCCTTGCAAAACCATTCACTGAGAATCACTATTGAGAGTTCTGTTCATAGCAATTCATCTTTCTGTTCTTCTTGTATGCTTTGTACTTTTGTACAAATTTAGGACTATTCACAAGAGTTTTCCTACTGAAGTCAATACAAGTATTTATATAATCAGCTTCATAATTTTAAAAGAAAGCACTGGAGCTAAAGACAGTCTAGACAGACTAGTATGTAAAAACAGGCATGAAGGTGAGTTTATTTATTATGTGCACACTATTAACTCTGAATTAAAGAAGTTTCTTGTTCATGAGTTTGTACTGGTATAACTAGTATTTCTTTCCTTTTCTTTTTTTTAAGTATTTGACAACATTTCTTCACTACTTTGGAAACAGATGCTTGGATATGCAATGAGTGTGTCTACATGAGATGCTTCACTGCCCAGTACCATGCTAATTACTATGAAGTAAGTGGTAAGTGTCCACATCTACACATGCAGAAGCTTACCACACAGTAACTGGCTCTAGTCTAATCACAAGTAAATTTGCTACCTGCAAATACAAGTAGCAAATTTACAGAAATTACTGCTATGCAGTAGTGCATGTGTAGATGCCTCACTGGGAGCAAATGTGCTCCTGGTCAGCTGGCCAGCAGGGGGCAGGAGATTGCTCCCTGTCCCCAGGAACTACCTGCTGCTGGGGTGTGCTTTATCACAGGAGCCCAGGTGGGGACAATGTCTCCCTGACCCAGCAGCTGGGATCTCCCACCCCCTGCTCGACAATAACAGGGTGGGGCTGGGAGCTTCATATCTCCCAGCCTAAGCCCCATGGTGGCAGGACCTGGGCTGGTAGATTCTTCTCTCCCACCACCAGCTCCACAATCACAAGGCCACTACTAGGAGAGAATGATTTCCCAAACTAGGCTCTGCAATAATGGAGCAAAGGATCTTCTAGCATCAGTCCCAGATCCATGGAGTTGGTGCTGGAAGAGAAGGATCCCCTAGCCTGAGTCCTGTGACCACAGTGCTTGGATTAGGAGATAAGGAACTCACAGCCTGGATTCTGTGATCATGGAGCTAGAACTGGTAGCTCCTGCTGCCAGAGCAGGGGGACATTCTCCCCACTCAGGCTCTGGTGGTGGAGCCCACTCAGGCAGCAGGCAGATTTCAGGGGCAAGGAGAAATGTCCCAGCCCCTGCCAGGAGACAGCAAATCTTCTCCCTCGTTCCAGCATGAGTAGTTTACTCTTGTAGTATTGAGAGTTTATGCTTGAGTAGTTTACTCAAGAGTAAACTGGTCCTGGATTATTTGCACAGGTAGACATGTCCAATAAAGTGCACAATATATGAATCTTGACAGTGGGGAAGGAAAAATAAAACAAAAAACAAAACTTGTGGTAATATGACACGCAGAGCAGAACAGAAAAAAAAGCAAGGAATACCAGGATGTTATGGAAATATGAAGCTATGGGGCTCTTGTACACACTATGGGTTTTAATCTTCATTAAATTAAATAGATTTCATAGATTTCATAGACATTAGGGCTGGAAGGGACCTCGGAAGATCATCGAGTCCAGCCCCCTGCCCAAAGGGCAGGAAGTCAGCTAGGGTCATAGGATCCCAGCAAGAGAAGAATCCAATTTGCTCTTGAAGGTGTTCATTGTAGGTGCTTGAACCACCTCCAATGGCAGGCTGTTCCAGACCTTGGGGGTTCGGACAGTAAAGAAATTCTTCCTTATGTCCAGCCTGAAATGGTCTTGTAGTAGTTTATGACTGTTCAACCTCATCATCCCTTGGGGCACTCTGGTGAACAAACGTTCCCCTAGATCCTGGTGGTCACCCCTGATAAACTTATAGGTAGCCATCAGTTCACCCCTGAGCCTGTGGTTTTCCAGGTTAAAGAGCCCCATGGCACTCAGCCTGTCATCGTAAGGTCTGCTTTCCTGACCTCTGATCATGCACGTGGCTCTTCTCTGGACTCTCTCAAGCTTCTCCACATCCTTTTTGAATTGTGGAGCCCAAAACTGGATGCAGTACTCCAGCTGCGGCCTCACCAAGGCCGAGTACAG